AAGAAACAAGAAAAAAACACCCTTTTTTTGTGGGTTTTCTTCTCCAATTTCTAATTCAATCTGTGTGATTGATTTTGGGTTTTGGTGATACAGATACAAATTGGGACCCACTCATTTACATTCGATCAAGTTTATGGCAGCAATGGCTCCCCCTCCACCTCAATGTACGAAGAATGCGTGGCCCCTCTTGTCGATGGCTTGTTTCAAGGCTATAATGCTACTGTTCTTGCCTATGGACAGGTAAATAGTATCTCATATTCAGTTTGAATCTTCTAATTGGAAGTTTAGGTTCCACAAAGCTAGCTGTAATTAGTTGTCAACCCTGAAAGTTGTGAATTTTTAATGTCCCGCGTTACAGACGGGGTCCGGGAAAACGTATACCATGGGCACTAGTCTCAGAGATGGAAGCCAAGCCGGAATAATTCCCAAAGTTATGAATGCTTTGTTCAGCAAGATCGAGACTTTGAAGCATGAGATCGAATTCCAGCTGCATGTTTCCTTCATTGAGGTTTGTCCTAATCTATTAGTAGTTTTTCTTCAATAAGATCATTAGCTGCTGATAATTGTAACTTCTTTCATTAATGCATATAAAATTACGTTCTTGAGTATCTTCAGAGCATTATATGTTGTTAGGTGCTGACATCCATTTGAATTTGTTGTGTAGATACATAAAGAAGAAGTAAGAGACCTGCTAGATCCTGATTCAACTAACAAACAAGAGACAACAAACGGTCATGCTGCAAAAATAGCAAGCCCTGGGAAAGCTCCGATTCAAATTCGTGAGACATCCAGCGGTGTAATCACACTTGCAGGGTCCACTGAGTGCAGTGTGAAGACTCTCAAAGAGATGGCTGATTGTTTGGAACAAGGGTCTCTAAGCCGAGCAACTGGGAGTACCAACATGAACAATCAGTCAAGGTGCATAGTTTTAAATTTCTATTTTTATTTTTTTTTTAAAATACTTCTTCTTGATTCTTGAGAAAAAATCAGATTTTTATTAAAAAATTATTTAGTTATTGTTGACAATGCATGTTGTCTTTCTCTTAGGATATTATTGTCCTTGAACTTTTTGAATTTAACGTTAGTTTGTTGTTCTAGAATTGATATGTTGACAAAAGCCGTATATAAGGTGTATTTGTCTGTATATATTGTTTAACAAACTTAATGGAAATGGTGAATTTACTAATTCCCATCTCTTTCTCTCTCTATCTCTCTCTCTCACAGCCGGTCACATGCCATTTTCACCATCACAATGGAGCAGATGCGTAGGGTTCATCCAGGTTTTGGAAGTGATGGCAATCTAAATGACTGTATGTCTGAGGAGTACTTAAGTGCCAAGTTGCATTTGGTGGATCTTGCTGGTTCAGAGCGTGCCAAAAGAACTGGCTCAGATGGTTTACGTTTCAAGGAAGGTAAAGAGAAACAGTAAAATCTAATCTTGGCTTGAAATATCATTATATGGTAACTTCTAATACCATTTTCTTTAATACAGGAGTTCACATTAACAAAGGTCTCCTCGCACTAGGGAACGTTATAAGCGCACTCGGTGATGAGAAAAAAAAGAAAGAAGGAGTTCATGTGCCTTATCGGGATAGTAAACTTACTCGGCTCCTTCAGGTTCGATTATTGCGCAACTTGCATTTTCTTGTTTACCCAAATTTTTCCTAGCTATTGATTTTCCTATTCGTTTACTGAAATTTGAGGCTTGGTTTGTTTGCAGGATTCTCTTGGTGGAAACAGCAGAACAGTGATGATAGGTAATCTTTACGTACCTCAAATACGGCATTTAACCTGTGTTTCATTATCATGCATATTCAGTGTCAGTGAATTAAAGTTGAACACTTGCTTACTAATGTTATTTTCTTTTTAAATCATTTTTTTTTTTTTTTT